CTGCAGTTCCCGGCCAGGCACCCAACTCACCCCCGTGGACCTTTGGCTCAAGTCGGCTGAGGTCCCCGGCGGGGACTCCTGATCCAGCAATGGGCTACCAACAAACCAACCAACCTGCACGCCAACCACGAACGCAAACTGACAAAGATAGCCGTTGCTGTTTACGGATGTAAACCCGCTTAAAATACTCCACACACTTCTATACAGCAGTGACGCCTATCCAACCATTAAAAAAACAACTAGCGTTCATATTATTATCCTTACTGTTAAGAAAAGATATTTTAGTACATCGAGAGCACTCTCGAATGGCATCGCAGAGCACAAAGAAGAAATAAGTAAGTCCTTTCATCGAGGACAGGGTGGGGGAGCGGTGGAGGTAGATTGCAGATCTCCAGACAGAGACAAAGACGTCGCACTTGGAGACGACCTGCAACCATCCGTGGGCAAAGAAAGAAGAGAGAGAGAGAGTGGGCGAAGAACGGATGATAGACTTTGGTTGGGAGCAGGGGTTAGGGGAAGGGGGGTAAATGCGGAGGGACAATGGCAGCCCCCATGGCCACTAGAACTTTGTGTGCACTCGAGTCTAAAATACACCACACGGCTGATGTGCCCTGTGTTATGCGCGACAAAGAGAGAGCGAGAGAGAAAGAGAGAGAAACAGCGAAGATAAAATTAGCAAGAATGGTGCGCGGCAATCGCAATCGCCGACACACACACGAACACACGCGTGCATCTGGCCCATCACAGAGACGCGTCCAGTGTTTTTTGGTGGTTGCGGTGACTACCGTTCAGGCGGCCCTTCTGCACCAGCGAGCAGGAGTCCACTGCCACCGATAAATCACCGTCGAGGTCACCGTCAAGGTCACTCAGACTGTCTTCCGCCTGCCAGACAGACAAAGGGGGAAGATATAGTAAGGGTTGGAGAACAAAGAGAAGAAACAAAAACGAGTACATAGCGCGAACAGCCCAAGGCCTCGGAGCACAAACAGCAGGTAAAGACAGGTGTGCAGGCCTACAAGGTCTGAGTCAAGGACCAATTAAGTAGAGAGGACAGAAGTTGACTAGGGGAGAAAAGACGTGAAACATGGGGAGTGCACGATGGTCAATACGAGCTGATTCGCAGGGCATAAAAAAGCACCACATTCAACATTGAACGAACGAGCGGTCAGGCGTAACAGACATGGACTGGCTTGTGATAACGGACGCTGGGGGTAAATTCGCTGACACAGATATATTAAACAGGACTTGAATCCGAATGGGTGGAGCAGCCTATCGTTAGTAAGTGGGGCTCTCCGACTCCGTTCCCGAAGGGCGAAACTTCGAATAGCGAGTCATGTGGATACGCTTTCTATATGACCAAAGGGTCGCGGGTTCGAATCTCGAGTGATCCA